AAGAGACCATCCAGACAGAAAGCCCAGGTTCGAATCCCATTAAGCTGATGAGAGCTAAATAGCTTGAAATAGATCTATACTAGTCTCCCTTTATTTATTTATCAGCACAAATAAAACACAAATATAACAAAGGCAACAGTAAAAATAATGGCTTTCTGTCTGGATGGTCTCTTGTGATGAGCCGATAGACAGAGAAAGGAAGCAGTATGCTTCCTCCCATATTTGGACATACCAGGGGTTGTGACACAATACATACATACATACATACACACACACACACACACACACACACACACACATACTGTGCACCCCAAAGCAAAGCTAGTCCCTTGCATTATATCTTTCTAAGAATGCATCTGAAAATATGTGGCTTGTATGTAATCTTTTCTTTGGAAGTATCCCCACTAACCAGAAAGGAAAAGAAGTAAATTAGCAAAATAGAAAATGAATAGAATAGAATAGAGTACAGTAGATAGAATAGAATAACAGAGTTGGAAGGTACCTTGGAGGTCTTCTAGTCCAACCCATTGCTTAGGCAGGAAACCCTACATCACTAATTACTTTAAGGGTTTTTCTCATGGGAAATAGAGGACAAATGTTTTAAAGAAATTAATAAACTGAGCACTAGAAGCAAAAACACAATTCACCTTCTCATAAACTGTTGTAAATAGTTAGCAAGTCTCCTGTGGAAAATGTTTTCTGTCATTAAAATTGCAATTCCCGTGGCTCGAAAAAGGCTTGGAATCTAAATATTTGTGAACTATGTTTGCTATGGATATAACAGTTCGGGGGTTGGGACTGTGTCCTGATTTTTTTTTTCTCCAAGGGTTTCATGAAGAAAAGGGTTCTCTTGAATCAGACTTGACTTCTGCTGGGTACATGACATTTGCTCATATCAATTTCTTGACAGTAATACAGAAATGATTTGTCATTGCCTTCTTCCAATACAGTTTCTTTAACTTCCTAATCTGGCCTATAGGTCTAGATTTCCTGGTGGTCTCCTATTTAAGTACAATATTAAGCCTACATACATAGAGTAAACAGTTGTTAATTATGAGAGATTACAATTGGAACCTCCAACTTCCAAGTCAAATGCTGAAATATCAATGAATTTTCATTGCACCAAAGGAACACAATATCCTTTAAAGGGGCAGTTCAGATACTTGACCAAGAATCATGAGTGTGCAGAAAGGCTCTGCTCCTAAACTCTTTTGGAGTCAGACAAACCACTATCCAATTCTTTGTCATCTAAACTGATTGTTGGAGGATTTTTCAACCCTGAAGTTCTGGCTCTGGTTTTTCAAATCCTTTTTTAAAGCTGAAAATGACATTTGAGTAGTGATCAAGGGCCTATCCTCCAGAAAATGAATGAGACCCCAAAAAATAAAATAAAACCAGAATAGGTAGGACCAAGACAGCAGTTACATTTGATTTAATTGAATTTAAATGCTAAATTAAAAAGAAATTAATTCAATAAATGAATATGATTCCTCCTCTCAATTTTAATTTTTTTTTCTCTTCTATCCTATTAAGAATATTAATTTGGCATTCACTTTTGTAAAAAGTTGGTAGGCAGTGAGACATTCCAATCTGCTGAGGATATCAAACAGTCCTACGGCTTCAACTGGAGCCCCTGCCAAAATAGTCTGGGAACAGGTTATTTGTTCATCATGGAGATGGTGCAAGCGTATGAATTTGCCCAAGCTTTAAGATCAGCAACAGAGGCTAATTTGGTCAATCTTCAAGGTCAGGTAGATCAAAGTTTCTCAACCTCAGCAGCTTTACGATGTGTGGACTTTAACTCTCAGAATTCCCCAGCTAGCATTCTTTCATAGTTCAGGGGGCTACATCCAACTGTTTCAAAAGTCTTGTAATTTTTTTTTTTAAGTAGACTGTCACAATACTTGATGTATTAGTTGGAAGAGTTCTATTTTAGAATCTTGGAGTTATTTTACTGTACCTCATTTTGTGCATGTAGTTTGCCATTTTAAGTGGAGTTGATCCAATAAGGTAATCTACAAGCAAAGCTATCATCCATGTTGTTTTTTAAAAAAAATCTTCCCAGAAGGGTACAGATATAACTGGCAGTTTTCATGAAACCTGCTACAATGAATTCTCAAACGGATTGAACTTATACTATGTGTTTTGGGGCACTAGGTACATGGTGAAGGTGGAGTCAGATTCCAGAACTGGGCTAGAACATATGGATCCTCTCCAGAAATGCATTTCCAGCCAACAACAGTTGATGAGATCAGAGAGGTAAGCAAGCAACATCCAACCAGGTGTTCTGTTGTTTTGATGTTCTCTATGACTGATTGTTCTCTACCTGTTCTCTATCTTCTTTACTTCTTTACTATTCTCTATATTCCATTCTTCTCTACATATAACAATATGTCCTGTTGTTCTCTATCTCTATTGTGCCAGCTGCACCTTATGGGAATTCTTGTTGGAAAGTATTGGGTTGCTTATTGGATTGCTTATAAGAGCCATGGTGGCACAGTGGTTAGAATGCAGTATTGCGGGCTAACTCTGCATTCCACTGCCAAGAGTTCAATGCTGACTGTCTCAAAGTTGACTCAGCCTTCCAGTCATCCAAAGTCAGTAAAATGAAGACCCAGATTGTTGGGTGCAATGTGCTGACTCTGCAAACTGCTTTGAGAGGGCTGTAAAACACTATGAAGTTGTATATAAGTCTAAGTTCTATTGCTAAGTGCTATTCTAAATGTGCGATTAACATCTTTGCAGATCTTGGCTCTGGCCAGGCAGAAAAGCAAGAAAGTGAAAGTGGTTGGTGGTGGACACTCCCCATCAGACATTGCCTGCACAGAGGATTTCATGATCCAGATGGGAAGGATGAATAAGATCCTTGAGGTAAAAGGATCTGGCACTGGGTCAGATTCACCATTCATCTTGCTTGGCTTCAGAATTCCAAAGGCTTATTTCCTTTTATGAAAGAGGCAGCTGAACCAACAAGGCTAAAGGCTGCTAGGAATGTGTAAAGAGCTCCTAGATGTTGGTAAAGGAGTGGAGAGTAGTTCTGGTTAGGTTCACAAGAAGGACGAGGGGAGACATGATAGGAGTGTTCCAATATCTCAGGGGCTGCCACAAAAAGAGGGAATCAAGTAATTGGTGGGATATGATCGGTATGCCCCAGTACAGGCATACCGGTGCCTGCTGGGAGCACCAGGTACGGTGCTCCACAGGGTCCATCCTCCCACCCGCCGTCCTTACCTGTACTTGAGCTGATCGGGGCTTCCGCACACACGCACTGAGCATACGGTGCCTGCGAAACGCTCCACCGAGCAGCTAGAGCAACGCAGAGCATCGCAGACAGTAAGTACGCATGCATGAGCTGTGCACGTTCTGCGCATGTTCATGTGGTGGACACCTGGCCCCGTTGCACTGTAACGGTTGCAATGGGATCCGGAACTCACCACTGGAGTCAAGCTATTCTCCAAAGCACCTGAGGGTAGGACAAGAAGCAATGGGTGGAAACTAATCAAGGAGAGAAGCAACTTAGAACGGAGGAGAAATTTCCTGACAGTTAGAACAATTAATCAGTGGAACAGCTTGCCTCCTGAAGTTGTGAATGCTCCAAAACTGGAAGTCTTTAAGAAGAGGTTGGATAGCCTCCAAGGTCCCTTCCAACTCTGTCTATTCTATTCTATTCTAATCATGGAGAGAAGCAACTTAGAACTAAGGAGAAACTTCCCAACAGTGAGGACAATTAATCAGTGGAACAGAAGTTGCCTCCAGAAGTTGTGAATGCCCCAACACTGGAAGTCTTTAAGAAGAGGTTGGATAGCCTCCAAGGTCCCTTCCAACTCTGTCTATTCTATTCTATTCTAATCATGGAGAGAAGCAACTTAGAACTAAGGAGAAACTTCCCAACAGTGAGGACAATTAATCAGTGGAACAGAAGTTGCCTCCAGAAGTTGTGAATGCCCCAACATTGAAAGTTTTGAAGAAGAGATTGGATGACCATTTGTCTGAAA